GTCTCACCCTGCCTGGGTGCCAACTTATGGCTCATTACTGTAAATTACTAACATTGGAAATGGTGAATCATAAAGATGAATTGTGGAAAGATCACCCAAGAGGAGATGCCAGGCTGTGAATCAGTGAAGTGTGCCAGGTGTTACCCTAGAAAAATAAAATCCAAGAGTTCTGCAAATGTCCATCTTCTGTATCAATAATCATCTCACTCTGCAGAAATACAGAAAGGGATTTCTTAAAATGAAGAGCATCACTTTCAACTGTTCAACTGAAGCTGCTCATCTCTGAGACTTGTCTCAGTTCTGACATGAGGTAGCACACAGTAGAAAGGACAGCAGAGGGTGCAGCTGAGGACTAGGTAGAAACACCTCCTGATGTCTTAGTTAGGCTTACTATTGCTGTGAAGAGACACCGTGACCAGGGCCACTCTGATAAAGAAGACATTTAGCTGTGGGTGACTCGCTTACAGTTTTAGAGGTTCAGTCCATTATGATCATGAAGGGGAGCATGGCCGCGAGCAGGCAGATGTGGTGCTGGAGCTGAGAGTGCCACATCTTTCAGACAAGAAGAAGTTGACTGACTGTCACACTGAGGGAAGCTTGAGAAAAGAGACCTCAAAGCCTGCCTCCACAGTGACACACTTCCTCCAACAAGGCCACACCTCCTAATAGTGCCCCTCCTTTTGGGGGCCCATTTTCTTTCAAACCACCACACCTGACAAGATAGAACCAAGGCCATTGCCTTGGGCTCCTTGTCAGGGTTACTTAATTTGCTGTGGTAAATTAGAGATAGCCAGATACTCTGTGAGGCAGAATGAATCAGGAGACAAATAAAAGTCTGGCAGTGAATTTAAAAATAATAGCATAGTTTCGACAAATCATCCAAGAAAATCAAATATGTTCAATTTCTTTATCATTCATCTGCCATATGATAAGGATATACCAACTCTGGAATATATACCATCAACCTTTCCAAGTCCTGATTTGCCTAGATAAGAAAATGATGGTAGATGGGACAAGAGAGATGACTCAGTCAGTAATGTGTTTGCCATAGAAGCATAAAGAACCAAGTTCAGGTCCCAGAACCTACTTAAAATCCAGGAACTGGGATACACAGCTACAGTCCCAAGACTAGGGAGGGACCGACAGGTAGTCTCTAGGACATGCTAGCCAGCCAGTCTAAACAAACGTGTGAGCTACAGATTCGGTGAAGCCCTGTCTATTAGAATAAAAAAGTAGAAGTCAATTGAGGAAAACACCCATGTTTACTCTGGCTTCCAGATATAATAGTGCACACACACACACACACACACACACACACACACACACACACAAAAAAAAAAAAAAAAACCTGTAAATACTCAGAGAGAGAGAGAGAGAGAGAGAGAGAGAGAGAGGGAGAGAGAGAGAGAAACTGAGAGAGAGACAGAGACAGACAGAAAGAGACAGAGACAGAGAAAGATGATAAATATATGGCCAGAGAACAACCCTAAAAGTAACTCAGTGTTATCCAAATCGTCTTGATCCAGTTCAATGACAAGAAAAACATTTTATATCAGGACACAGCACAAAAAGGCCAATTGTGCTGGCTAGTTTTATGTCATCTTGACTAGAGACATTTGAGAGATGGGAACCTCAATTGAAAACTGCCTTCATAAGATTGGACTGCAGGCAAGCCTGGAGGGTGTTTTCTTAATTAATGATTGATAGGGGAGGACCCAGCCCATTGTGGGTGGGGCCAGTCCTGCATTGGAGGTCCTGGATTCTACAGGAAACAGGCTGAGAAAGTCAGGGAGCAGCACTCCTCCATGGCCTCTGCGCCAGCTCCTGCCTCCAGGATCCTCCTCTATTGGAGTTTCTGTCATTACTTCCTTCAGTGATGAACAATGATGTAGAAGTATGAGACAAACAATCCCTTTCCTCCCCAACTTGCTTTTGGTCGTGGCGGTTTCATCACAGCAATAGTAACCCTAAGACACGGATATTTACACAGCAGAGCAAAAGCATGAGTTCACTGAGGTAATTCTTAACTTCAGCGCATCATGACTAAAGCCTGAAGACAAGGAAGGGCACGAGCATGCAGGATGTCTTCTGCAGTCAACATTCCCCCAGTTCATTTAATAATCTGGTACAATGCTCACCAAAATAGTGTAACAAAATGCATAAAGAGCATACGGGACCTCTTAGAAAGAGCATGAGTCGAGGCTCAAGTGTATGTATGAGTGTTGATCCTGCACATATGTCTGTTCACCACTGTGGAGGAGGAAGAGGGCATCAGATCTCCAGAACTGGACTTGTGAATGGTTGTGTAGCACCATGTGGATGCTGGGAATCCAACCCTGATCTTCTGTAAGAGCAACAATTGATGAAGGCTTAACTTTTAACCCAACCCTATAGTGATGAAGGAAGACTGTTTATGTGTTTTTCCCCTTTAGAGCATTAAAGATAAAACGACTTTGTTATCAAGGATAAACGTGGATTTCTACAAAATTATAAAATGAAGTCACAAAATAAAAAAAATCAGACAATGAAAACAATCAATACATGTTATTCAAATCTGAGTTTCAATTAATTAGAACAATATCAATAACAACCATTAAGTACCTGAATTTGAGGATGGTTTTATTATCTCCCAAAATGGAAAATAAAACTAGAGTGATTCATAATTAATGCCTTGCAACTAATGAGATATACTGAGTTCCTTTGCAACCCACTCATTTACTTATTATTTAGTGAGCACTCAAGATTTTTGAGCCACGGTAATATACCAGAGTTTTTAATAGGGTAAAGAGACCCCCAAAGTTCAAAGAGATAGAGAGCTTGTCCCTATGCACCTCAAAACCCAGGCAATGGAGGCAAGTAGACAGCGACATTAATATGATGAGCAGACCTGGGGCTTAACAGTGGTCTAGGGCAATGAAGCCATAGGTGTTGGACAAAGGAGAGTAATTTTAAGGAGGGGCTCCCCTCTCCTCAACGGTTGTGAATATTCTGCTGATTTGACAAAAAGGGAGGGATTCCCAAAGAGAAGAAATGAAGCAATCCTGAGACAGCATAGATTGGACACTATTCCAAAGAGTTGGGGTTTTCCCCGAAGGCATCAGAGAGTCCAGAAAACATATGGATCTAAAAGTGGTACAATGTCATCTGTGCATTGGGAAGATTGTTCTGGGATAAGGTTGGAGGCACGTGGAAGCAGGGATTCCCCATTTATAGGACTTGGCTTTAAGACCTACAGATGCGTTAAGTCAACTCTTAACCTACAGGTTAAATCAACTCTTCCCCTTTGCAGAGGCCCTGCAAGTAGTAATGGCAGCAAACAGGGACATGAGTCTCCATTTGCCAGCAAGCACCAGCTTCTTAGAAACAAGTCATTCTCCTCTTCTGCCACTGGGGTAAACAAAGAAAAAAAAAAAAGAAACAGCACACACACACACACACACACACACACACACACACACACACACACACACAAAAAAAAAAAAAAAAAAAAAAAAAAACAAGACAGAGCAAAGGGCATATGACAAAGGACGCAGCAACTGCCACCCTTAAGCAAAGCACAGTAATGAAGAAATGAGTTCTGGCAGCCCAGCCAGTGAGATATGAAAGAAATTAATCCAGAAGGGATGTAATGACCTGAAAAAAATGATGAGCAAAGTCACATGAGTTAAAAGAGGGAGAAGCAAGGCCCAGGTAAGAGCCACGCCACGGTCCCCTCTGCCCTACCCATCTGAGGGTTGGCACACTTGGGCCTCAGCACAAGAAAGGATGCAGCACAAACCAAAGATCTGACTGTCAGATTGTTTACATGTACTTGCTTTGTTCCTTTTCTTCGTAAAGAATGGCATTTTAATTTACTGTCCTAACACAAGAATCTGCTGGTGATAACACCAATCTTGTTCAGTCCTGATGTTCATATAAGCTTGGGACACATTTTTTGATACTTTATTTTTCCAGCTAAAGATCAGAGTTGCTTTTGAGACTCAGACCATTAGTATAATGGATGTTGATGGGTTTTTTTCTCCAGATTCGACTTCGATACAACAGAGAATTAAACTGAAATCATTAATTTCTCTTTGCTTAGTGCATTATAGAGCATTCCTAGCCAGCCTGCCTAAGGTTAGTGAACACTACAGTAACAAATTGTTCGTGCTGAAGTCTTCTGTATTTATCTGATTTTTAAATGATTTTTCTACCTCGTTAACTATTTTTATATTCTTGCAGTTCTTTGAGTGAAAAACAGAAAAGAAAATCTTGACAGTCTGAGAATATTTTCATGGCCCACGCCTCTCAAAATAAGCTCTGAGATGCCCTGATGCTCTGCAAGGATGGGCCTGAGTTTGCACACAATTCAGAGAAACAGTTCTGAGGACAGGGTTCTCATTTCTTTACAGGTCTGTGCGTTTTACACACAATTTGACTTGCGTTTCCCAGGCCTCAAGTGACAGGGATCGCTGTGGAAAATTCAAAGAAGGGAATTTAATGGCCAAAGAGAGAGGGAGAGAGAGGGAGAGGGAGAGGGAGAGAGGGAGAGGGAGAGGGAGAGGGAGAGGGAGAGGGAGAGGGAGAGGGAGAGGGAGAGGGAGAGGGAGAGGGAGAGGGAGAGGGAGAGGGAGAGGGAGAGAGAGAGAGAGAGAGAGAGAGAGAGAGAGAGAGAGAGAAAGAGAAAGAATCTATCCTTTCCCATTGTTTATGAATCAGGAGAATGTTCTGTCAGCTTTCATGACTGAAGAACCTGTACAATAAAAATCAAAATAAGAACTTTGCAGGTTGTCGAATTCCTAGAGCATTAAATTTTAAAATATATAAATATGTGATCCTGACACTTACTGTTTCTAAACTAAGATCTTTTAAGCTTTGCTATTCCTGACTCTGGGCAAGTCTGCCTTCTGATTCCTAGCATTTCAGCTGATGCAGGGTCACATCTCCACCACCCCCCTGCAGCCCTCTATTTTAATTAATTCCCATACTTGCCCTGCCAGTGAAGGTACAGTCGCACTTACCAAAAACCTGCCCCTTACCAGAAGTGGGCGGAGTGTCAGACCGTCCCCAGGGCTCCCACCTCATGACTGGCTGCAGTGAAAACAGCCTGGCTTCCTGGGTGAGGGGCACTGACCCGGTTTTCTGCCAGAGCTACTACTGGAGAGCTAATTACGGTGTGAAAACACCCGATCCAGGTCAGTGTGTTCCTCAAGCATTGTTTGCATTTGAGTTTAAGCACATCCAATGGCAGAATTGACATTTGCAGCGTGCTACCACATTCATTTGCTAGGTTTTATGTTATTTTATTTTCAGGTTGGGAATGTTTGAAGAGGCATTTATCATGAAAGCCACGGCCCTTGCTCCTAAAGCCTCTTAGCACAAGTACAATAACAAAAACTGCTAATTAAACGAGGGGAAACAATCAGGAAGCAAAGACAAAGGGGCACCCCTTCCTTGTCCGAGGCCAGACAAACGCAGCTTCCCAGCCCAGGCCTGGAAGGAAGCCAGTTCCACCTCACCAGGTGCAGCCACTTAATTCTGCTCGCTTTGGAACAGGAGCAATGGGAAAGGCACGAGTCTCTTATAATAAATCTAAAATAGGCTCGCTCATCTTCAATAACAATAATGAATCCAAACCAATGTGCTTTCATCTGGTCAAATTCCCTTCTTACAGCCACAAAATCCACTGTGGGTCTTAACAACATTCTGGAGCAACTCGATTCTTAGTGTGGCGACCTAGGCCGGCAAAGGCAACATCCGTGTCCCCCCAGAATAGCGCTTGCCTTTTTCTATCTAGGAGAAAAAGGCATTTGTCTCTGCCCAATTCGGACAGCAATTCCTTGGGCGGCTTTTCCTGATCTTTGTCCCACAGACTCCACAGGGTCTGCATTTGGGTATCCCTTAAGCACTCAGTGCACACTGTCTACTTAGCAACTTGTTCTGCCTGGATGACTGTGAACACACCTCTCTCTTCATTAGATTTCTACCCCCCCCCCACACACACACACACACATTCTTGTGCACACACACAACTTCCTCTCTTTGACTCTCACACCTAGACTGATGTAATAAATGTTTGTTGAATGGAAATACATATGGGAATTTAGAAGCTCAAGAATGTTTTTGAAAGTTCAGTTTCTTGGCTAATTAGACATAAAATTAGAAAAGTAACTGAATGACAAATATTAAACTTTGAATCCTCTTCAAAATGTATAATAATATGTGGAGCAGCAGGAGTCTTTATTCTCAGCCTCGGAAAATATAATTATAGAGCAAGAAATGTCTAGAAGAAGCTTTTGCTGCACTCTCCTCTGCCTCCAGGTAGGTTATATTAAATTATCTCAAGCAGATGAAAATCTATTCTTTTTTTATTTCAAAAAGGGAGATTGTAATTCTACTATTCTAATATTAAAAGCGTCTCATCTAGGAACCCCATTCTGGCTTCCTCACTAGAGCCTACATGGTACAATTTAAGTTGAGATACAGCAGCTCAATCAGATTCATTTTGTTATAATTATAAAAATTTTATATAGAAAGATAACAAATATGATATATAAAATATATTTCATATAAATTCATATTTTATGTGGAAATATGTATAGAAATAATTGACTGTATTTGTATTTAACTTCAAATTTCTTCTTTGTGTGTGTATGTGCATATTACACAATCATGTATGTGGTTCTATAAGCATATATGCATGTAAGCATACAGGTACAGCCATAGGAGAAAGCTGGGTGCTCTCCTCCCTCACTCCCACCCCCTTCCCCTGACATAGGATCTCTCACTGAACCAGAAGCTCACTGTTTGGCTAGACTAACTAGCCATCAAGCTCGGAGAATCTGCCTGCCACCTTTCCACAACACTGAGGTCACAAGCATGTGCAGATGTGGTACGAGGGACCAGAGTCCAGCTCCTCCTGCATGAAGAACAGGAGCTCTTACCCACCAGGCCATTTCCTTAGACCTTTCACTTTCTAAGATGATGGGCATGAATATTTTTTTAACCCAAAGTATTAACTTTTAGGAATTTGGGGTCATAAAGCACCTGCCTAACATGGACAAGACCCTGGGTTGCATCCACAGGATGGCAAAACAAACAGACAGAAATGAGTAAAAGTACTCAAACCACACACACACACACACACACACACACACACACACACACACACACAGAGAGAGAGAGAGAGAGAGAGAGAGAGAGAGAGAGAGAGAGAGAGAGAGAGAGGAAGGAGTGAGGGTAGGATCATTTGTAAGTCATTTCTGTGTGTCTAAGCTTCTAGGATGTGGGAATGACATATCTCTGTTCTTTCTATTATTGTGAGACCTTCAGATCTGAATTTTCACATTTCAGTGGACATTCCTACTAATAAGTAGAAGGAGCTGTTTGTGAGGAGAATGCCCGCATGTGGTGGAGGTTGTACAGCACAATGTCAAGAGATTTGGGCATCTGAGAAGCTGAGCAGACAGTCCTTGACCTGTGAATGCTCTACATTGTTTTCATGGTTTTATTTCTGGAACTATATTCATATTTCATAGTTAGTAATGGATATTTTTCCTAACAGAGTAAAACAGAAATCAGAGAGTCATTAGCTATTTGGAAAGAGAGGCCAAAAAAAAAATCCTTTACTAGGATAAAATGCAGCATAATAGAGATAAAAATTTCCAGAATCTGCTAGAAGTTGAAACCTTGCTTTCCTTGTTTAGAAAATGGGAAGATGCTATCCTTCTTACATGTCTTATAAAGACCAAACAGAATAGTAAACATCTGAACTCGAAGATGTGCTCAGCCAATGGCAGCTGTGTTAGTGCGGTCCGCACTGTGGCTCCCACCCAGACTCATCTTTGCGATACCAAAACCTCATTTCCACAGAGCAAGGTGCGGGGCTGGCAAAGTGCTGCACGTGAGCCCCACAGACTGAAGACAGTCTCCTCAAGAATTTACTACAAAGGAAACATTATCTTATTTAAGCTTAGGTATAAATAAGGCCTGAAAAAGTAGTTAATAAAATAAATACAGATGTCAGGCAGTGGTGGCGCACGCCTTTAATCCCAGCACTCCAGAGGCAGAGGCAGGCGAATCTCTGTGAGTTCAAGGCCAGCTTGGTCTACAAAGCTAGTTCTAGGACAGCCAGGACTATTACACAGAGAAATTCTGTCTTGAAAAAAAAACTAATTAACTAAATAAATAAATAAATACTATTATTACTTACTGATAACATTTAAATCAGCACTGATACCTAACGCATTTATTTCATTGTGTTATTTCAGTCCATGTACAAATTAACCAAGCAATTCCTCTTAACTTTATTTACAACTTTTGGTTCTCTGGAAAGTACTGCTTTCCTCAAAACCAAACACTCATCTTCCCAGAGACAAGGTGTATCAATAGCAAAGGACTTTCACAGGAAGCCCTCTCCCAAGAATGCACTGCCATCAGCCAAAGGTGGCAGCCTCACCCTCTTCACCAAGACAGCCTAGCTCTAGGGCAGTTTCATACTGGGTTAGAGTTTGGCCCTTTGCCTCATTTGAGGGACAACTCTTAAGGGTCCTCCACGGGACCGCTTTAGCTGCGGTACATCCCAATCACCACCACTCCTTTGACTATATTTTACTTCCTTGACTCCTCAGAGAATCCGATCATGCATGCTTCTCAGTCTCCATCTCAACCTGTTTGCTAGGACCAAACTGAAACAGAGTTCACAAAAAGTGTGTTGCCATTGCCAAAGAACCGCCTGGTACACAGGACCTGCACAAGATGTTCTGTCATGAATGGAAGAGGAGCTCGTGAGACCCCACCCTCAAGAACTATTGGCAGTTAATGACTGCTCTGGGAAGGAGTCACTTTCTTCAGTAGTGTGCCCACTGTTAAGCTATCCCCATCTCCAGAAAACAGCCCCTTACCCATGTTAATGCGAGCAAACTCAATGGATACCAAAGCAAAGAAAAGGACATGAAAACATGATGGGAACTCTGGAGAATAGAGGGGACAAGAGAGGGTAATTGGGAATGAGAATGACCAAAATATGTAACACACATGTGTGAATTTGACGAAGGAAACAATACAAACTAACAAAAGAATCACCAGGCTTCTGGAGAACAAGAGGAAAGAGATTTGGGAACCTCTAGTATGCTCCCTGACTCAGTGACAGTGCCAGGAAACTTTGTGAGGAAATTGGAAGCAGGCTGCAAGATGAGGACAGAAGGTGGAATTGGGCCCAGTCCTTACCTTGTTCCCTGCCCCACCAACAATCCAGGAGCAGAGTCAAAGTTGTAGCCAGCCACCCAGAAGCAAGTCAGAGCCAGTGAAAGGTGAGAGAGCATAGGTGTGGTCTTTCAAGACGTCCATAGCATAGCACCATTGACCACTCTCTTAAAAACAAGAGACCTGTTAGCATGTCAACTTAGAGACCAAAGACCAAACTGAAGATAGCAGCTGGACCAAGTTCCCGTTGAACTCAAGAGTGGATGTGTGAGATCCCACAGTCAGAAAAATCCCCAAGAACAGGGATCCTTACCGCAGAAACTAAGGAGTAGAGGCCCTGAACAGCTGCACTCAGCCTCATCAGCAGGTGCAGTGCTGTCCGCCCAGGTCATCATTCTTTTAGTCACTTTGAAAGTGACAAGAGTGGCTCTTTAGAGGCTTGTCCTCAGCTCCCCAGGAGAAATCAAGGAGAAGATGGAATTTATCTAAGACCGCCATCATAGTCTGTCTCCCTGGACGGTGGAGGTGGACCAAGCAGAGCTCCAGAGAACACCGCTGGACTGCGATACACCTTCCCCAGACCCAGCGACCTACCTATCCCTTAACTTGTAAGTTATGCCATTAAATAAATCTCCTTTTAACTACGTGGAGTGGCCTTAATAATTTCGCCAATAGTAATTGGAGGAAATAGTCACGTGCCTTCAGCTTTCTTCTCTTCAGAAAAACAGATTTTTGACATCCACCATATACCAAACTACTGCTTTATTTTTTTACAGGCTTTCTTATGACAGCCAAGGGTTCTAAGGAGCTTGTAAGTGCTGGAGGTTCTGGCTCACAGCTCAGAGGACAACTGTGCCAGGTCCGGGCTGCTTTGCTGTTTAGGGGTAGGGATTGGGGGGGGGGGGG